GAAACAACCTGTGAAGGCACACAGGTGGAAGATATAAAATGCAGTAAAGAAAAAAACTAGAGTAACAGATTTGCACGTTTCCCCAATAACTTAGAGGGTCCCCGGCAACGTTTCCAAAAACTTGACACGCCAAAACACAACACCAAACTGCAACCAAGTGTAATCGCAGTCCGGGAATGCAGTAAAATGGCAATTTCTTTTATCAACCCGGGGTCTAGATCTACTGCTTACTCCGTGAGTATCTATTATCTAACCAACTACGTTAAGTGATTGTTGTTTTAAGAAAAAGCAGAAAGAAAGCAGGAATTGGTACGGTTTTCTCAAGCAAAGAAGAGTCACTCGGGAATGAGTCCCCCTAGCTCCTTAGTTAGGTTTCAATTTTAATTTCCCTGGGTTGATTTACTGTTGATTAGACTGCGGAAGATCCGACAGTAGCTTGGAATCTCTTAAGCTGACCAAGCCCTCTCAGTCTAACTACCCGGCAGACGACTAGTCTTCAGCGGGATAGAAAGCTGAAGCAATAAGCGCAGAACTCCACTACTGGAATTGGATTGCAGTACAAAGCAGTAAACTGGCTAACTCTCGTATAGCCAATCTCCTACTACCGAATGATGAGGCTCTAACAACCTAATCAGATTCTATCTATCTCAGGTTGCAGCAGAAATCGGGAAAAGCTGATCAGACTTCAATTGACTCAATAAACATGCATCATTCGATTAAAACCAAGCAGTAATATCATCCCAAGTCATTACAATCAAATCCCTAACACATGGAACTAGGTTTCTTCATACCCAAGTGAGAGAAGGGTTCTACTCCATAGAGAGAGAGGGAAAACATAATACAAAGCAGTCATACTCATAACAATGGGAAGAATCTGCTCTGGGATGATGATTTCCACTCCTATGACAATCTCCAAGCCCGATTTGATGAAACCCAGCTCCAAGATAGCTTCTAGGATGTGTTCTTCGTACTTTCTCTCTCTAGGGCTCTGTTTTTGCTCTCAAAATCCGATTTTCTCACTTGCAGCCCGAAATTGGGTAAAAACCAGAAATTCCCGACTCACACGGGCAGGCTCACACGGCCGTGTGGCATACCCAGTTGCCCGTGTGAGGTCAAAACGCCGCGTTCCGAATAATTGGGTTTCAGGCTTCCCACACGGCCAGGGCCACACGGCCGTGTAGCTCACCCAGCCTGGCCGTGTGAAGCCTCGCAGAATTCCACACGGCCAAATTGCAACTTCACACGGCCGTGTGGGATTTAATTGTGCCCGTGTGAAGGCTCGCACAATCCCACACGGCCTCCTTGGTCACTTGCACAGCCGTGTGAGTTGTGAGTGTGCCTGTGTGGCTTCCTTTTTGACTTGCCTCGCGCCCGATCTTCGTCCAATCGACCCCGAACTCGCTCCTTTTTGTATAATTCAGGTGTTGTAGTGGTATTAGCCCTAATAATAATAATAATAATAATAATAATAATAATAATAATAATAATAGTAATAATAATAATAATAATAGATATACATCTAGGCGACAGTATCTTCTTGTTTTGATAAATGAATTCGTTTTTTCTTGTTTAACAAGAATAGAAGTGGATGTGTTAAGAATCCACATGGAAATAGTCGTGGATGGTCTCGTGGATGATGAAAAGGTATAGCTGATGGTCTTCATCCTATTCTTCTTGCTGGTTCACCTTCTAGTGGTGTTACTACAACCGGTTTCATGCTTCCTACTTCTACACTTACTTGATATTGGGGTATGCACAAAAGTTCGAGAAGGTATTTGGTTTCTTGTATAAATAAGATGACAGTTTCAAGAAGTATGTGATAGCAAAGAGGGGTTTGACAACAGAAGAAGATTGGAGTAGTGTGAGAAGGGTGGGACGAGATACGGTGACAAACCCTTAAGGGCGTTGTCAGATTCACAACCCACTTCATAGCCCTTGGATACGCTATCTCTCCTGTCTCTTTCTTCTTTTTTTAAATTAACGGTTAAGATTAAAGGAAGGATATTTTTGGAAGGGTAAAAATTTACCACACCCAATCATTCACCCTACCATATAAAAAGAACAAAAACCCTAACTCCTCCATCCTCCCTCTCTCTCTCTCCTCCCTCTGTCCCGTAGACATCACCGTCTCTCCTCCCCCTCTCTCTCGCAGAGCCCTCCGCCGCCACAGCCCTCCCACCACCGCAGCCCCCTCTTCCTCTCCCATGCCCACCGCCACCCCTGACCTCCACCGCGCCGGCTGTCCTCACCGCCCTGCCGCGCCTGCTGTCCCAGCCGCACTGCCGCGCCGCTGTCCCCGCCGCTCCTGCCGCGATACGCTGCCCCTAAACTCACCGTCGTGCCACTCTGACCCCGCCACCATTTTTATGTCGCCGCGAGGTCAAGACTCTTCCCTGCCTCCCTCTTTCCTCATCCCTATTTTTTTTTCAGATCTGATTTTTTGTTTTAGTCTCTACTGTTATGTACCAGTGAGCACTGGTAAGGTACCTATACCACTGGTAGAGCTATTGGTACGCTACCACTACTCACTGGTACCAATACCAGTGGCTCCCCTATCATCTGGTACCACTATCATCTTTTTTTGTGTGTTATTTTCTACTGGTACCGCTACCAATGCTAGTGGTAGCGCTACCAGTGCTAGTGGTACGATACAATATGGTAGTGGTAGCGTTGTACTGGTAGCGTACCACTAGTACTGGTACATTTTTTAACGTACTGGTAGCGTACCACTAGCACTGGTATATTAATTACCAGTAGACTAATAGATTGGTACACTTTTTAACGCACTGGTATAATTTTTCAGGTTGCCGGAGGGAGTCTGTCGGAGAGAATTCGCCGGAGAAAAAGTTTGTCCATTGGAGAAAGGAAGAGAGAGAGAGATGGATAGAGATATTAATGTATATGATTTAAATTTAAAAAAAATGTATTTAATATGGATTTTTAATTCCCAATATAATTAATACAAAAGAGGTCATTAATATATTCCTTTTTTATACCCAAAATACCCTTGGTTGTGAATCTGACAACCCCCTTAGGGGTTGTCACCGTATCCCGTCCCGAGAAGGTTGATTAAGTATTTAAAGTTCTTTTGTGATTTGATTTCCCATGTATCTGTTATGTTAATTAAAACTACAAGTCTTATTCTTGTGAATACTTCAATTATTTCTAACTTGATTTTTGCTTTAAAAGAAGGCCAAATTCACTTGTATAGCCAAAACTTTGACGTTTGTGCCAAATATAGTCATTTTTGGAGAAATACCATAAATATCCACAATTTTGAAAGTTCGATGACAATTATAGCCATTTCTGTTACATAGTTTGACGGCGTCAGTGACACCATTAGTCTAATTAACGGAACGATGATGTAGCTGCCAACTCACCGTGTCTTTCTTTCCCAATTCTGTTTCATTTAGGGTTTCCCCGCCGCTCTCGTCGACGAACCCAGCTCCGCCTATTGAAGCAACCCCACCGCACTCGTCGACAAACCCAGCTCTGTCACACTCGACGACGTACCCAGCTTCGCCGCCTCCGTTTCTTTTCGTGCGGACCCAGTCTCTTTTGTTCAGCGAAGACCCCTTCTCTCGTTCCGCGGCATCCCCGTCTTTGCTGTTACTCGCCACCCACGACCGCCGCAGATCCGCGAAGTCCCCTGACTCTGTCGTAACTACCTCTCCTCTTCGCTATTGTTTCCTTCACTCCTTCACGGAGGTTCGTCATGTCTCACCGGGTTGGTTCATCTTCCAGAAGCGAGAACAACATTGGGGTAGTATGTTGCTATCACCATGTTCCTGCTGTGACTAATAGAGCCGGTACTGAGTCCAACTCAGGAAGGAGATTCTACGGATGCAAGTTTTGGATGGTAAAGGAGGTTGCGAGAATCTTCATTTTTCATTTGTGTATGTTTGAGAGTTGTGACCATAGAATCTGTTGATGCAAGAACCAAAAAAGAACTGCAAATGTTTTAGGTGGGTGGATGGGGCGGTGGATGAAGTCGATCCAAGGAACCCTGCCATAGACAATATAATTCTTAATCTATAAGAGAATTTACGGTTGGCTGAGGCTAAGGCAGAGAGGAGGAAGAAGGAGAGAAAAATTATAGTCGAAGAGCTGAGGAAGGTTAACGACGATGTTCCTGTCATTCGACATATGTTCACCGTTGTTATTTTGTTGAATGTAGTGTTACTTGTCGTAGTGTTGGCCAACCGCAGTAGTATGATTTAGGATGATGTGTTCTAAGTTAGTGTCGCAACCGTCCCTCCGGGGGTCCGTATGTCGTCGCGTCAGCATTTTTGGAGTCGCCATCGATCTTACTTGGAGTGGATCGAACACTCTTCGGTCGGCTCTAACCTTAGGGTCAGAACCGTGATATGGTCTGCGGTTAAGAGATATGGGTTTGGGAGTACGGTTACGTGTGGGGAAGTTAAGCAACACCCCCACAACGCCCTAAATCAGTACTACTTAAGTCGATAAGTTTTTATGCGAGTTGGGTGTATTTTAGTAATCATTTTGTATTTTTTGATAAATTATGAGTCCACAAAATTTAGATAAATTAATAAATACTTTCAATTCATGTCTAAAGTAGAACAGCTTATAACCTCTTAATAATAAGTTTATAAAAATAAATCTTATCAAGAAGTCACCTTCCCCTCTATGCTAATAAATTTGGGAAGAGCCTAGATGGTGAATTAGATTACTTTATTGAAGTTCAGAATGCATCCAAGTATCTGGTATGTATCTTTTAATCTCAAACGTATCATATTGTTGGTGATTTGTTTTTTAAATATATTTTTTATAAATAATTTCATGAAAAGAATACCCATTTAGTGAAATAAAATAGTAAAAACGTAAAGCGTTTTAGTGAACCAGAAGCGTAAAAGCGTAAGTTATTAAGTTTTAAAGCGCAATCTATTCTTATTTTATACACTAAAGTTTTTACATAAAAACGAAAGCGTTTTGGTGACCTAGAAGCGTAAAACCGTAAGTTTTTAAGTTTTAAAGCGTGATTTTGACTGCATTGATTATGATGTTGCTAAGATGAATGCAAGAATTTTAATTATTAAGAATAAATTTGATGTACCAGAGAAGAAGCAACACTAACTTAATCCGCATTTCATATTTCGTATTAAGAACTTTAAACAAATAAAATTAAACAAGATGGTTAAGGTAACGCATGATGGGCCAGCAGCCCAACTGCCCAAAGTGCCAGCCATTTAGCGCGTACGAACCCGTGGACCTAGGTTCGAAAATGGTGAAAGTTGATTTTTGGGAAATATGGTTATATATGCGTATTCTGGATCTAGGATGAATCTGGGAACCATGGACATCACCCGTAAATCACTTTGATTTTTATGCTAAAAATGCAACGAAACCTATTTTAGTTCTATAATCACAGCCGCTGCTTGTGATTTTTGCTAGACTAGGATTGATTTTGGAAACTGTTGTGGATTTATGGATCTGGAGGTTTCTGTGAACATCCCCCTTTTGATGTGTCCCCTGGTTTGAGTGAACATCCCCCTCTTCTTTTTTAGATTGACTAGCGTTCTTCGAGGTTTCTGAATTCTCCATCTTGCCTTGCTTAATCCCTTTCTCTATTCTCTCTCCAATTACTAACAAATCTGCAAAATTTGTTGTGGTGATTCCTACCATGTTGTTGTAATATAGAGGCTTCAATGTTTCGAAGAAGGTTGAAACCATTTCTTTTTCTGACAAGGCGGGTTGAACATCTGCGGCCTTTCCTCGCCACCTCTGTGCATACTCACGAAAGGATTCCTTCTCTTGCTTTTCCATGGCGCGTAAATCTTCTCTATCTGGGGCTAAATCTTGATTGTGCTTGTAGTGTTTCATGAATGCATCGGCAAGATCCTGCCACCTTTTCACCTTCGACCTTTTAAGTTGCATGTACAACCTTGCAGCTGGCCCACTCAAACTATTTTGAAAACAGTGTATCATGAGCTTGTCATCTCGGACGTGGTTAGCCATTTTGTTGCAATACATGATCAGATGATTTGTAGGACACGTGGTACAATCGTACTTCTCAAACTCATGCATTTTAAATTTATGGGGAATTATCACGTCTGGTACTAGGCACAACTGTGTGGCATCAGTAGAACCATAGGATTCTACCCCTTCAATTGCTCTCACCCTTTCGTCCAGGTATTCCCATTTTTCTTTTAATAGCGTGTCGTCCATGGCTCCTTCCAATTTGTCTTCCTCTCGATCATGTATTGGAGATCCCATGTTCTTCTTGTCATATACGTCTTTTGAGGGTATGACGGGGATCTTGGCACTAGAAGCTTCACCCTTCAGGTTCCCATCGCGATCTTCTTCATCAGAGTGTATTTCTTCATTGTTAGATACTACCCCTTTCCCTTTAGCTGATAAGATCTTTACTATCATGTTCAGGTGATCCTTCATTTCATCAAACCCGGCTAGCTTTTCATCAAATCCGGTTATCTTTCCTTCAATGTCGCTTAACTTCTTCTGGAATGCCTCCATGACGAACTCGAACTTGGATCTAGTTAAGTACTTGAAGTATTTACTTCTTGCTTCTGGACGAGCAATTTTAAGGAAACCTGGACCGTCTCAATATTGTTAAATTATTTCGTTCTTTTTATGATGGTGTATGCGTGATGCTTATGCAAAATGTTAATGATGTATGAATTCAAATTCATTTTTCGTTTTATGCATGCCTTTTTAATCTTCTTATGTTAAGTTGTTAATGAGTGAATGAAAATCTTATGAGAGAATGATGTTTATGAATTTTGAAAACGTTTTTCATTCATGCAATCACACTGTTTTACGAGTAAAAGATAAAACGCATATCATTACGTCGTAAGTAAACATACATTTAGATAAGCAAACATATATCATTACATCATTACCCTATTTGGTAGACCTAGGGCTTTCGGATGGCGTACCGACATGGTTTCAGGGTGGCTTTGGGGATTGTTTTGGACGGCTTAGGGAGGTCTCTATGCTTACTATATGCTGGCAGGGGGAATTCCTAGGGATCTTGCTCCCAAGCTGTATCCTGCCATAGCCCCTTACGAACTGGCTGGATACCTAAAGATCAACCTCGGATATGAGTTCAACTTGGTTGGAAAGTTTTGCGTGGTTTCCACTTTTGTGAAAGTCACTGTACTCCTTTTCCGTTTCTAATAGGATAGCTCGGGTATAGAGCTTTCATGCATGAATGTAGAAGTCAATTGTGAAATATAATTGCGCAAATAGTAAAGTAAACACCCAACACGTAATAGAAAATTAGAAAACTTATCGAACTTAGTTATGTAGCTCGACTCTCAAAGTCCCCAGCGGAGTCGCCAACTGTCGCAACCTTCCCTCCGGGGGTCCGTATGTCGTCGCATCGGCATTTTTGGAGTCACCATCGATCTTACTTGGAGTGGATCGAACACTCTTCGGTCGGCTCTAACCTTAGGGTCAGAACCGTGATATGGTCTGCGGTTAAGAGATATGGGTTCAGGAGTACGGCTACGTGTGGGGAAGTTAAGCAACACCCACACAACGCCCTAAATCGGTACTACTTAAGTCGATAAGTTTTTATGCGAGTTGGGTGTATTTTAGTAATGATTTTGTATTTTTGGGGTCCCACTGGACCATTTAATGATTTAATCGTATTAGTTGTAATTTAATTATACGCCCACTGACGTAAAAATTTAAAGATAAAGTTAGTTGATTAGTTGGACTCGAACCTTATCGGTTGCCTACGTACCCGTAAGACGGGATCAAAGTCCACGTAGTTCGTTCTAACTTTGATAGTTTAATTGTATGACTTTTATCACGTTCCACTGAACGTAATTTTCGTATTATATTTTTGTTAATAAAACTTCATTTAGATTATTATGATCAAAGCTGTCAAAAGCGCAATTCTACCTTGAAGCGGAAAAGGGGTAAAAACGTAAAGCGTAGAATTAAAGCGTAAAAGCTAAAGTTTTTTACGCATATCGTAAAAGAACTAAAAATATGTTAAGTACGACATATACTATGTAAAATATGAGTCCACAAAATTTAGATAAATTAATAAATACTTGCAATTCATGTCTAAAGTAGAACAACTTATAACCTCTTAATAATAAGTTTATAAAAATAAATCTTTTCAAGAAGCCAACTTCCCCTCTATGCTAATAAATTTGGGAAGAGCCTAGATGGTGAATTAGATTACTTTATTGAAGTTCAGAATGCATCCAAGTATCTGGTATGTATCTTTCAATCTCAAACGTATCATATTGTTGGTGATTTATTTTTAAAATATATTTTTTATAAATAATTTCATGAAAAGAATACCCATTTAGTGAAATAAAAGAGTAAAAACGTAAAGCGTTTTAGTGAACCAGAAGCGTAAAAGTGTAAGTTTTTAAGTTTTAAAGCGCAATCTATTCTTATTTTATACACTAAAGTTTTTACATAAAAACGAAAGCGTTTTGGTGAACTAGAAGCGTAAAACCGTAAGTTTTTAAGTTTTAAAGCGTGATTTTGACTGCATTGATTATGATGTTGCTAAGATGAATGCAAGAATTTTAATTATTAAGAAGAAATTCGATGTACTAGAGAAGAAGCAACACTAACTTAATCCGCATTTCATATTTCGTATTAAGAACTTTAAACAAATAAAATTAAACAAGATGGTTAAGCTAACGCATGATGGGCCAGCAGCCAAACTGCCCAAAGTGCCAGCCATTTAGAGCGTACGAACCCGTGGACCTAGGTTCGAAAATGGTGAAAGTTGATTTTTGGGAAATATGGTTATATATGCGTATTCTGGATCTAGGATGAATCTGGGAACCATGGACATCACCCGTAAATCACTTTGATTTTTATGCTAAAAATGCAACGAAACCTATTTTAGTTCTATAATCACAGCCGTTGCTTGTGATTTTTGCTAGACTAGGATTGATTTTGGAAACTGTTGTGGATTTATGGATCTGGAATTTACTGTGAAATTGCAAATTAGCAATCCTTGTATGCTTTGGCTCTTAGTGTGCTATCATTAAAAAAACAAAGTTGTTTAAAAGGAAAGCTAGCTCATTAGTCATCGCCGCCACTGCTTGCGATCACTAGTCTATAAGAAACTATAGTTTCCACTAATTGTATGATTATTGGTTTGATAGGGATCTTTGTGGTGTATTTATTCGAAAATAGTTGTGGGTTTATGAACTGAAATTTGTTGTGGTATGGTAATTTTTGTTGGATATGGATCTAGATCTACAGATCATGCCCCCTAAGAAAAGGTGTTTTTGGCTTTTTTCTACAATTGTATCAAGTATGCTAAGAACTGAAAGTGGAACTTGATTGAACATAAAGTGTTGTAAAATGGATTTATCGTGTATACCAAGTAATCATGGTAAGTAAAAGAGTACTTAAATAGATAAGCTGGGAAATTAAATAGATAGCTGATAATAAAAGAGTACTTAAATAAAGACAAGATCTAGATAGATGATGGCAGTAGTACGTCTCATATTTTGATAATAAGGACCGCTCATACAAGTAATTAAAATATACATGGCAAAACTGATTAATATCATTATCCAAGTAGAGAAAAAGAGTACAGGTTACCAACCTCAAATCTAAGAAGCCTAATCTTGCTCCTGCTTTCCTTGCTTACAGCTCTTGTCACTAGAAGCGAATTGAATTTCCCTTAAATCTTGCTCCAATCTCCCCAAGAAAGAAGAACAACTTAACTCTGTCTTTTTCTTTAGCCTTTTTCCCTTCCCTCCAAAGCTGTCCCCATAATAAGAGTTGAAGAACTCTTCTTATATCAAAATTGTATGCCAGGTGTCATTTGGTGATTGGATGATTGTGAGGTTGTCTCTACAAAATTGCAGGCTTTCCTTGGAAAGCGGAATCGGTTGTAGATAGGGTGGGAAGAGACTGGTTTAGATAAGGTTGGGCCGAACCCGACTGTGGGCTTTTGAGCCGACTTGGGCTCAGATTGGGGGCCTTTTGACTTGGGCTTTGCATCTGTATTTGGATTTCAGGCCTGAATTAGCTGACGTATTTTCTATGTTTTGCAGGCTACTGGTGTGGGCTTTTAAAATGCTTGTACTTCTCCGCTTTTGTATTTGTAAACTTGATCGATGATTAGGTGTACAAACTTTTGTAATAGTTTCAATGATTGTATCAAATTTTAATTTCTTCAAAAATACAATGTTGTATTTTCCTTGTGCATTCAGCCCTCTTGTGCATTGACCTTGAATGTTTCATCTTTAACAAAACTTGAGCCGAAGATCTTATTCTCGTACAACATGAACAATCCTTATTCAACTGTTGAGAGATAGCTTCGTAAGATTAAAAAAATTACTATAAGTATCGATCTGGACAAAATGTGGTGTCTACTGTTAGTGTTATGTATTGAATTGAAAAGTAATGTGTTTCTCAAACTGGTTTTTCTATATAATGCTTTGTAAAGTGTTCTGTATTGAATTGACAAGTGATGTAGTGTTAGTGCAAGAGACCTAAATGGCACCTTAACATTCATAACCTGATGCATCTGTCTTAACAAACCAGGACTTAACAAAGCATACATCCATAATGTTTTCACCAGCAATGGAGTTTCCATACAATCCATTTCCTACCATTCAACACAAGCAATCTACTAACATTCATAATTTCCATTACATCCATCTCCTACCGTCCTAACATCCAGCTACTAACACTACTCCGAAAGGTGGATTAGTCCACGACCACGAGTCACATAGCAAAAAAAGCTCCACCGAGTGCATCCATAACCCGCATTGTAAGCAAAAAAGGTGACTCATGGTGACTTTGACATCTAAGGTTGTGTTGGAGGCGGCTGGCTTCCTTGTATGTCCATCTCAGTGGGCTGAGTACCTCCAGCAGGACGCCCCCGTGATCCATTCAGCTAAAATCAGATCATGAAGTTAGCAAAAAAAGCATAAACAGTTGGGGTAGCAAGAATCATTCCATAGAAACATTAAATCTCAATCTTACTACTTACCCTCACGTACTGATTCCCAGTTGCCTCACTTACATACACCCTTATCTCTCTTGTTGCAACTCGCATCTCACGCTCAATTGTCCTTCGATCTCCAACATCCAACACAACATCCTAGAAAGGACCACGTTTTAAACATTCCACACAACATAATCAAATGACCACGTATTCAAAAAGGCTTACTTGTATTCGTTATAGTTTTCAAGAAGGCTTACCTCTATTCCATTTCCTCGGTTGAGGGGGCAGGTTCTCGCATTATGGGTCGCCGAATACACTTAGAGAAATGGAGAATCCGCTTCCTCCTTGTATCAGGGACAACATTGTTTACACCAGTTGTGTTGTTTGTAGCCCCATAATTGTCTCCAGCTACAACAGTGGGGGCAGCATTGTTTCCGCCACCAGTAGTAGTGTTTCCAGCAATGCGAGAAGTCCTTGTTGTTGTTCGAGCATGTTTTTCAGCATTTCGAGTGTTAGCCTAAATAGTAGAATGGTTGTGTTAGTAAGAAATCAATTAACAAAAAACTATTAAAAGTCTTAATCAAGCATACCGGAATCTCAGCTTCAGTAGCTTTGCAGCCCCTCAACACCACATTTCTTGCAATGTATGATACTACCCCTTCTAATTACCTCCTCACCAACCCATTCCGCTGAGGTTTCGTTTCGAGCTCATGAGCAGCCCTTCGTTGCTTCTTCTTAGGCCTTCTTGGCATGGCTCTTTGCTTCGGAGGATGAACTGGAAGACCAATAGCATCTGGCCAAGCCTGCCTACCGTCTAAGCAAGGGATGCCAACCCTGTAGCCTCCCTCGACATGGTGGGCCTTGTAACAAGGATGTACATAATCGTCCACCTCCTTCCTCATGTGTGAAATTGCCAAGACAGCATGGAAACAAGGCAGGCCACTCAATTGCCAGTATCCACATGTACAACTCATATCAGTTAGGTCCACTATGTAGCCATTCTCACCCATCTTCACTTCGCACTTATACGCCAATGTCTGCCTAGCAATACACAACCTAGCGAATTCCTTTTGTTTCTCTACCCTCTTCTTAATTCTAGGGAACAACATGTCTGGGGTGTCCATCAACAAGTTGTACTTAATGACGAACCGGTCCATCATGTACAACCTAATACCCTCTAGCATGTCAGTTATTCTCAAGCCCCTATACTGCACAATTGTCTCATTAAATGTCTCATATATACTGATTTCAACACTATCGCACTTAGACATTGTCGACATGAATGCTCGGCAAAAGAATCGGGGTTCGGCAGCCATGAAATCAGTAAAGGGTGTGGATCCAAGTTCGGTACCTTCAATTGTCTCCATTTCCTTGGTGGCCTTCTTCCAATCGACCTCATTGCAAGCATAAACTTCCTTCCAGAATAGTTTACGAACCTAGTCAGTTTTGTTCCTTGCCTTCCAATTCGCATAAACATGGCGGGCACACTTGCGATGTTCTGCTTCCGGCAACAACTCATGAGTTGCTTCAACTACAAGCACAAAGGAAAAGGTTAACAAAAGGCAGCAAGTTAAACAAACTTGGGAAAGTTGAACAAAAGGCATCAAGTTAAACGTCTAACCTTTTGTTGGCCCGAGATGACTGTCCAGCCCCTACCATCTGTTAACCCCACCTCTTGAGAGAGAATGTTGACAAACCATCTCCAAGAGTTCGCATTCTCTCCCTCCACGACTGCCCAGGCGATTGAGTACATCTGATTATTTCCATCCTTCCCAACTGCTGCAAGAATCATGCCCTTGACCTCCCCCTTCAAGAAACAACCGTCAAATCCGATAATTGAGCGACAAGCAAGAAGAAACCCGTCTCGGATGTTTGAGAACATCACAAAAATCCTTTGAAAGTAGACTTTTTCTTGTGTAGGATGCGATTCTGCCCAGAAGTTTTCCAGTTGCTTACCTTCGAATTCAAGGGCAAACTCACGAAGAGAAGAATTTCAGTGGTCCCGAGTAGACCCCTTTGTGTCGCTTTCTGACTTTAATACCAGCTACGATCTATAAAAGGAAGAAACCAACAAAAATTTACAACACTGCACATAAAATCCATCTCATCGGAGCTCGGTTTTTTAAACTCGACACTTACCAGTCGACTGTAAGGAAGAAGCCCAGAAATCGACCTCCGTCGAAAATCAAGAATCTTGAGGATTAGGGTTTTGAACTGGCAACTTCATCTTGGGAAATCTTCGCCTTCGATGGTCGATTCCCCCTCACCAACACCGAATCGCATCGACGGAACGTGGAGAGGATCTATGAAATGCCGGGATGCATGGCCGATTCGGTGGAGGGAGGCTCGGGGTGTGGGATGGGAGTGAGATTTTCTGGTGAGCGGGAAAGGGGTTTTGCTTCTCGTGGTGGGTTCGTGGATAGGAAAGGATTTTGTCGTCGTCGATCACTACCAACACCGATCTGGAGAGGGGGAGCGTCGTAGTTCGTCGTCAGAGAAGAGGGGTTCGCTGAATATCGAATAGGGGGAAGGGAAGGGGAAAATGAAAAAGTTAGAAAGTGACTGAGGCGGCTGCTCGCATTTACCCTTTCGTTTTTTTTTGTTCCACGTGGAATTCACTTGTTTGACGATAATAACCACGTCGGATGGTTCGTTTGTCCAGTCAGCACATTAACTAACACCGTCAAACAATTAGACGGAAGTGGCTATTTCTGGTATTTCTCTAAAAGTGGCTATATTTGGCAAAAACATCAAAATTTTGGCTAAACAAGTGTATTTGGCCTTAAAAGAACATCATATGTAACAACAAATCTCTTCTTCAAGTATATTGTTGGCATTTATGCGATCATAACAACATTGGAGGATGTAGATGAAGAGATACTATGTATGGCAGCAAGAATTTGGAGAAGGTTGCAAAATATTGGGTTGAAACAGATAATGAGGATAATATAAAGATGAATCGAGTGATTTACCTAGCATGTGTGCTAGATCCTAGATGCAAATTGGGGTATGTGTCTTGGATCTAGGAAAGAGAATGGGAAGCACTTGGCTGAAGTTATTAAAAGGAGATGACTGCATTGGTTGAAGATTACAAAGGCAAGTTCTTGCCTCCACCCTCAGGGGAAGCTACTTATGGGAGTAGTACTCAACGTGGTGTTGGAATTATTGCCACTACTGGGAGTTTGGGAAGTGGTATGGTTATGGGAGGAAAGTACCTTTGAGTTCACGAAGAAGAGGAAAGAGGAACTTAATAAGGAGATTCACAGTTCTTCATAGGCCATAGCTGGATATCTATATAAGGAATGCATATAATGCTATTTTTGAGGAAGATGATGATGACAAGTTCGATATCCTAAAAATGGTGGTCCCTACAACATTAGATATCTCATCCTTTATTAAATGGTCGAAGATAGTTTAGCTATTCTAGATTCTTCTATTGCCTCTGAGTCTACTTTTAGTACGGGATGTCGGGTTCTATCCTCATTCATGTCATCTTTGAGCATAAGGTTTGATACGGTTCACTGATTCTCAATTGGTTGATGATGAAGAGGATCTTGAAGAGCTAATTGAGTTTGAAAGTGGCACTATCTCTCTTTTTTCACTTTACCTTGGGTAATTTGTGATTTGTAAGTGATCATTTGCTAACACTTCAATAAATTTTTGTGTGTTTGCATGTAGTTTATAATACTTTACAAGTTTAAATAGATAGTTAAAGTGAGAGTGATAATGATGGCCAAAGCTAAAGCTTTCTTTTTTATCCTAGTCCCATAGTTGATGTTCAAGGTGATGATGATGATTTTGATGTCAATCCTTATGAGGAAAATGAATATCTTAATGTTGATTATGATTATGCACATGAGAATTTGCACGGCTTCAAAGATGATTAGGATTTAGGTGGTTGTTTGAATGTTTGGACTTCTTGTTGTTTTATGTGAATTTATAGTTTTATTTAGATGAATGTTTGAACTTCTAGAATAATTGGTGTTATGGACTATAATGTATATTGGACCTTCATGTTTTATTGTTACAAATATCATATATGTAATGGACAGATGCATTTTCGAGGGTTAGAGGAAGCCAGGCAGCAGCATGCCCGCAATAATAGGCATGGGGTACCCCTGTGCATGGGGTAACACCAGGTTGGTTAGGTTGCCATTTGGTTTCTAGCCGGTAACCACATTTTCAAGTGCTTCGCTCGGTTATTGGCTAACAGATTAATCAAACCACATCGATCGACTTTGGTGTTGGCTAATCGACAACCTTCGTTGTCTTCGTGAGTTGGTGGTTTTAGTCTATTAACGGTTGTGGTTAACCGTAACCAAACCATTTATCACCCCCTAAATTGTATTTCTGCACCCCTACATAGTCACTATAGCGCGTAGTAATTCTTGGTGTGGTGGCGTCATAGCTGCAAAGTCTTCTGAAATCTGAATCTCAACAATGGTGTAGAGAAGTGCCGGTGTGGATGGTGGCGGAGATGAAGGATATTACGAGGCTGTGTGTCTTTTTTTTTTCTTTTTTTTTTTGAAAAAAAAATATTTTGGTTGTTTGTTAATTTTTCATGTCGAAGAAGAGAGCTAAACAATTAATGAAAATATTATTTTATTTTTAAATTCTCATCTCACCCATTTAACTGTTGAATGAGAATTTATAATTAGTGATTACACATGCAATTAAAATTTTCTAATAACAAAACAAAATAGCAAACGTTTTTAGAAAAGTCATTAGTACAGTGCGGTCTGGCGTTTCAGAGGATGTAGTTTGCCGTTTCGGGTCCGTGGGTGATTGGGCTCAGGTCAGGGAAACCTTAAAAATATTAACAGGGGAAAAGAAACGGAAGGAAAGAGGAGATAGACTGTGGAGACGGAGGGAGGGGAAGAAAGAGTTGTTGTCTTGTGACCGGCATCTCTCTTCCTTCGTCTTACACTCCCGCCGTTATCAGTCGCTTAGCCGGAGGCAGCCATCCCATCAGCCGATATATTGACTTGAGGAGCTAAAAAGGGAGGAAGCAAATAGGTAATACTTTCAGCGAACGCTGCAGAGATCGGAGTCTTCTTGCTCCCCCTGCCTTTTCTTGCCGCCGGCTTAATTCAGCCACCTCGTGTTCGGCTGCTTTTGTGGCGCCCAGGGTTTTAGGCTTTAGCTGATCGACGAAAGGAGGAATAGAGAGAATACGAGACCGGGGGAACGATTGAGAGAATTGAATTGAACACTTGCTGCCCCATATCCACTCGCGATCGAATTAACAGCTGGTCAGAAAAATCACAAGGTCAAAGACAGGGGAGTAGAAGCTCTTAGGGGTTTGCTCACACGTCTTTCACAATCCGCGTTTCTCAATTTTCGGGTATTGATTTCTGACATGACATCTTTCTTGTCCTTTGTTTTCAGCGAGAGTTCAACTCTTATATGATCCGTCATGTGGTTAAAGTGGGTGAAAAATGGATCTCTTTCAGTTTTAGCTGGCATTCCTTCGTTCAAGCGCACTTTCAGTGTCGTTTGAACTAATAATTGTTTAGAATGTTGTCATACAATTTTCAAGGCTAGAAACCTTTCTAACTGATTTGTGGGTTTGAACTGAATTTGCTATTGAATGTAGTTTGATAAAGGGCTGATCACTTGGTAGCTTGCTTGGCTACACTTTTGCTGCTAAATGTGTTTGAGATTGAGTATATGACACTTCTTCCTTAATGCACAGAAGATTTGGCAAACCATGATTTGTTGGTTTGACTTTGTTTGTGGCATCTAATCCATCCTTTCCTTATCCAGTTTTTCCTTATGTTGTTTGCTTGTAATTTTCAGATTTGTGTATTAGTTGTGCAGATACAATTCCAATAGTTACTAGCTAAGCATACTTGAACGCTGTTGGGACATTCTTTGTAGTTTACTAGGTAAGCCTACTTCTTGCATACATCTCAGAGTTCACATTTTGGAGTGACTATCCTGTTTATTCTGTGCTAAGATATTTAGGTTTCTATGTTTTTTTGGGTGCCATGTAGCATGAACATTGGATGAAGCCACAACAGATGGTTGATTCACTATTTATTTACAACCATGATTCCGAAACAAAATGACTGGAACATATTTTCAAGTGTGTTCTCTCGTACATTAGTACTAAGAAATTTTCTTACAAAGCTCGTAGTATGAAAGACATCTTTGTTGCAATTAAATTAGTTGTTACTACATG